ATGGTGTCCCGCTTTTGTCCCGCTTTACCAATGTTAAAATCTGGTCACCTTAAGCAATACTCTATGCAAGGCCAGGATTCAGCTGTGTCACTATTATATGTCAATCTCTTGTCTTTCCTGGGCGGGTTTTAGTTTGGGTTCAAGAAGAAACTCCACTTTAGTTTCTGTTTTCTTCCAAGTAGGCAGTGGGAACTCTAGCTTCAGTGAGACCCATTATTAAGGACACCGAGGGTAGAGTCTACCCCTCATCTTGTCTTTTATGGTTCTGATACTTTCCAGAAAGTTTCATCTGACTTCTAGGAATTTAAAGGACATGCAGAGGTAGCATTTCCTCCGTTTCTGGTTATGTATGATCCTTGGGAAATTAAGCCGGCAACTCTTTCTTTCTCATCCAGGAGTACTTCCATTATAGGCGTTAACATGACAAAAATCTTGTGTTTTCTATGCCAGGAGTCCTCAAAGTATAGCTCCAGAACCAATTGTAACACCATTTCCTGGGACCTTATTAGGAATTCAGATTCTCAGGCCCCACCTCAGTCCTTTGCCCACAAGCCCTCCCGAGGATCCAGAGGCATTGCTAACATTGGGACCCGAATTTCACCAATGTCCTGAACTGGTGAGGGCAGGTGTGACAGGTGCTGATCTTCCGCATCTCTTCCTTCTTACGACTTGCATCAGAAGAACATGGGTTGATGCCATAGAATGATGTCATTAAGGCAGAACACGCTGTCAAGAACAGTAGGTCTTTTCTTTCTTTTTTTTAAAAGCAGGTCTTCTTTGTAAAGGCCCACATAGTTTTTATATGTTTACTTCGGGCCTTGTTCTCTTCCGTTTGGGAAGTTTCTGGCAGGGGAGGCATGACCGCTGTGTGGTTGGTTCAAGAACTCAGAGTGTATGTCGGTTTCCTATTGCTGCACTAATAAATGGCCACGTTTTGTTGGCTTAAAACAACTAAATGCATTATCTTACCATTCTAAGGGTCAAAAGTCTAAAATGGGCTAGCAGGGCTGCACTGCTCCTGCAGGATCAGGAGGCAAATTCATTTTCTTGCTTTTCTAGTAGGAACTCTGGTGATTATGCTTTGAGCTGCAATCGGCCTGGTCAGCAGTTCGAAACCACCGGCAGCTCCTCAGGAGAAAGACTGGGCTTCCTGCTCCCATAAACAGTTACAGTGTTGGACGCCCACAGGGCAAGGTGCTCTGAGTCAGCCCTGACTTGATGGCAGTGAGTTTGGTTTTTTGGAGAGACTACATGCTTTCTTTGGTCCCGTGCTCCTTCTTCAAAGCCAGCTGTCCAGGATTTTCAAACAGGATCTCTCTCTGTCTCTCTGATCTCGATTGCCATCATTACATCTCTTGCTCTGACTCTAACTTCCCTCCTCTCTTTTTTAAGGAACCTTCTGATTACATTGGGTCCATCGGATCACCCAGATAATCTCCCCATCTTAAAATCCTTACATTTATTCACCTCGGCGAAGTCTCTTTTGCCATGGGAGGTATTTACTGGTTCTGGAGATTAGGATGCGGCCAGCGTTGAGAAGATCCATTATTCTGCCTGGCACCGAATGCATGCAGATGAGCCGGCAGCTCCATGGACCAGAAGAGAGTCGAGACAACGAAAGGGGCGTCACTGGCTGAACAGTGGTGTGCATTGTGCGGCCTGTGTTTTTGCCGCATCCTGTGCCCTGGACCTTGTGTTCCAAATGTGTCCTCCTCCTCGCAGGTCCACCCGCCGAGATTGTCATCTATCAGGAACTCCGCATGGAAGGGTTCATCGTCTCCCGCTGGCAAGGAGCTGTACGCCAGAAAGCTTTGAAAGACTTGCTGACCTGGGTCTCAGAGGTAAGGGGTTCTGCCACCAACCCCTCCGGTTGTGCTGTGATCCTGCTCTCTTTTGCCACCCCAGACCCGACCCCCTTTCTTCCCCCTCGGTGATGCAGGTCAGTTTTCTACAGACTATCAGTACCATGCCTCTGACTAGGACACGCGTATTTCTCCCAACTTAAAAGGAAAATCAAAACAAAACATCCTCTCGAGATCTCATTTCCACCGGAACTACAGGCCCGCTTCACTGCTCTCCCTTTCATCACAGAATTGGAGGAGAGTCCCTACACCCCCGACTGCCCTTACTCTTCTTTCTGTTCTCCCTTGAGTGCGCCGAAGTCAGATTGCCGCCCTGCTGCCATCGCACTACAACGGTTGGTGTCGATGGTCTTCATGTTACAGAATCCAGGGGTCGATTCTCAGCATCGCTTTGCAGTGGGCAGTATTTCACAGAGATTGTCCTTCCTCGGTACCCTGTCTTCCCTTGGCAGCCCTTTTGGATGCTCTCTAGCTCCCTACCTCAGACTCCTGGCGTTGCTAGTTTTCCCTTCTCTCCCAAGTAAGCATAGGGCGACAGAGGAGCTAGTCATTGGACCTATGTGCGTCTCTGTCCACACTTTATTCCTTAGTTAGCTCATCTGGGTTCATGCCTTTAAATATCAACACCATGCTGATGACTCCAGATTGCGATCTCCAGCCCACACCACTTCCCTGAACTCCAACCGTGTATATCCAGCTGCTTACTCAATAGCTGAACTTAGCTACAAAATACACATTGTTATCTCAGCCTTGATGTGACAACCATAAAGATAGAAATATGTTTTTATCTTTCCTCTATATCTGGTCATATGTAAATATCACTATTTGAGTAATGACGATTCTCCCCATCTAATTTCTTAGTACAAACATCCTGGAAGTGTGTTTGATTTTTATTTTTCTCATGCCCCACGTCGAATCTATCAAAAAATTCTGAGAGGTCTACCTCCTTATTAAGTACAGTATCTGACCACTTCTCCCAGCTTACTGCCGTGCTGGGCCAAGTCACAGCTGTCCAGTCCATTCGGGCTGTTCTCAATCACGTCTAGTTTGTCTCCTTGTTCGACCTCTGCATCTTTATACACAGTTTCCAACACAGCAGCCTTCAAAACATAAATCAAACCCCTTCATTCCTATGCTCAACACTTCTCAAAGACCCCCGCTTCACTTAGAGTGAGGCCAACATGTTTAAAGCTACAACCTACAAGGTTGTACACGAGCTGGACCCCCTATTTGCTTGATTTTATTTCTTAGTATCCAATCCCTTGCTCACTCTGCCCAAGCCTCCTTGATACAAATAACTGCTTAACTAACTCGCTCATTCCTTCAGGTGTTTGCAAAAAAGTTGATATCTGAATGAGACTTTTTTTTTCCAACTCCCTTCATTCCTGATTCTCCCTATAGCATCTGTCACCTTTTACTTTAATACAGTCTATTGGATTTCATGCAGATTCTGGGTGGTGCGGACAGTCCATGTACTCAGCTGCTACCAAAAGGCCAGCTGTTTGAGTCCTCCTAGGTAATCTCCTTCTGAGAAATCAGCCCTTGAAAACCCGTTACAGTTCTACCCAGACACACATGAGGTTACCGGGAGCTGACATGGACTCAATAGCAATGAATGTACTGGTTTAGCACTCCATTTATTTCTCATATTCCTCTGGTGAGAATGTAACCTTCTTGAGGGTAGCATTGTTAGTCCATTCTGTTTGCTGATATATCCCCCAAAGATAATAGTGTCTCGATCAATGCAGCGACTAGATATGTATCTATCGCTGATTGAACAGTGTAGACATGTGTGTACGTGCTTCTGTGCTATGGGTCTTCCAGGTCTCAAAGCAGGAAGAGCCATCGAACAGCCGTGCCTTTAGATCCCTCTGTGTCCTCTGCTGATCCTTCTCCCACCTTCCTCTGGTCTAGATGAGGTTTGAGTCAATAAAAACCTGAATAACCAAAGAGCATTATTTCTGTTTGGGAGAGGAAAAGAGGTCTCATACATCCAACTTTCTGGTTTTCTGATGATTTCTCAGTCATTTCTCCTGCAGCCACTGGAGGTTGGGGGGGGGGGTGTTCCCATTTTTAACACTTGGGGCGCTAGAGCACTGGGCCAGCTTGTCTCCAGGAAGCTTTGAAGAGTTGAAGTTCTCCTTGTGTAGCCTCTTACTCTGTTCCTGTTAGTGAAATCAAATCTAGCCCAATATTGATCACACCTGACAACAACAACAAAAACCCGCCGGGCTGGTGTCCCTAATAATGCCTCCCTCTAACAAACAAAAACTGACTGTGGTTATTTATTTTTAAGTGACTAGTGAATTGGCTTAATTTATGTCTTATCCTTTCCCCTCCATCCTTCATGCTCTTTAAAGAAACAAATACAAAAACT